AGTATCGATGTTGTTGTCGTGATATCGATGTGAGAAGTCGATGCGAGTGTCGCGACATCGATGCGAGTGTCGTGACATCGATGCGAGTGTCGCGACATCGATGCGTGTGTCGTGACATCGATGCGAGTGTCGCGACATCGATGTGAGTGTCGCGACATCGATGCGAGTGTCGTGACATCGATGCGAGTGTCGCGACATCGATGCGAGTGTCGTGACGTCGATACGAGTGTCGTGACATCGATTCGAGTGTCGTGTAATCGATTTGAGTGTCAGTGACATTATACTCACCATATAGAGGGTGTCCGGTATCCGCTGTGATAACTTCACTCGTCTCAACCTCGACAGTTCAGCTTCGGGAGGAGTCTGATGCTGCAGTAGTGCCTGTACAGACATACACACACAAACATCAATTATATTATTGTTAATAACAGGAACAAAACAATATAATTTAAACACGTGGCCATATTTATTGAGATGAAAACTTCCAAATTTTTTATTACCATAAAAACATAGACAAATTACTAATACAAAAATAGTCTATGAAAAAGTAGCCATAGACTCAAACAAACAAATGTTATTATTTGGGAACTGGTGGCGCTAGTATCTGTACAATAATGTTATTTAATTTCGATATCTATAAATTACATATATATAAAAATAATATTGCCGTAATGAAATCTTTCAATTAATTATTCAATAAGCCATTCGAAGATGACAATAGAAAGTAGCCAGAGCATATAACCCTACAGGATACAACTGTATAGTCTCTGTAAACAGGCATAACTTTATGCCACCAATATGTGCACGTACGGGTAAATAAAACTCGTCTACCCTGTAGGGTAGGCAGGTGTATATCGGCCTACCCTGCAGGGTATACCTAGTATATACCTGCCTACCCTGCAGGGTATACCCGGTATTCACCGGGCTACCCTGCAGGGTACACACACACGCCCACCTTGAGCTCGTCCAGGTAGGGCAGGAAGCAGCGCGCGGGCCGGTACGCGCCGCGGCCGAGCCACGCGTCCGCCGCCGCAGCGCTGTCCGGCGGCAGCGCCACGCCGCACGCCACGCCGCGCCGCACCAACTGGCGGACAGACAGACGGTCTTGTAAGGCACATACGGTAGAACCGGACACAAGCGGTGGGGCCAATACAGTTACCTGCAGCAGCGGCTCGTGGTCGGGCGGCAGATGCTCGGTGCGCACGAGCGGCAGCAGCGCCCGCAGCCGCTCCCGCAGCGCTGCGCCCCCGCGCCGCCGCATATATATATATATATATATATAGAACCGGACACAAGCGGTGGGGCCAATACAGTTACCTGCAGCAGCGGCTCGTGGTCGGGCGGCAGATGCTCGGTGCGCACGAGCGGCAGCAGCGCCCGCAGCCGCTCCCGCAGCGCTGCGCCCCGCGCCGCCGCATATATATATATATATATATATAGAACCGGACACAAGCGGTGGGGCCAATACAGTTACCTGCAGCAGCGGCTCGTGGTCGGGCGGCAGATGCTCGGTGCGCACGAGCGGCAGCAGCGCCCGCAGCCGCTCCCGCAGCGCTGCGCCCCGCGCCGCCGCGCGCCGCCCCCCACCGCCCCCCTCCGCTGCACACACGCCCAGTACAGACATTAGTGCCCCTTCCCTTCGGACGCCTACATACATCGGACGTGTTTATTTCTTATAAACCATTGGACGCATATACTAAGAGTGCATAAAATCAAATCAAATCAAATTCTTTATTGGCCTTGTAACAGAGAATGTTTCACTAGGTAAGTCATTAATATACATTCATTGTCATTTAAGAATATGATATAAACTGTTATAATGTCATGATTATTAATAAATATAAAATAAATTATTTCAAATATAAGTATTATGTGTAGAATTTCAATAATAATATTAATAAAAAAACATGATTAAAATAAATTGGCATTAAATTATTAATTCAATCGGATATTATTTCTAACGTTACTATCATTTAAAATCTACGAAAATGAGGATTCAGTCAATGGCATATTAATAAATTCTGTAAGTGTATAAAAGGCAGTTTTTTTCAAAGAACATTTTAATTTTTCTTTTAAACTTATTAATCTCTAAATTCATTATTGAAATTGGTAGTTTATTGTACATAAGTAATTTATTGTATTTTCCTTGTTTTTGTACTTTGGTGAGTCGCACCTTAGGTAATATCAATTTGTGTTTGTTTCTAAGGTTATATTTGTGTATATCCATGCTTTTGACATAGCTTTCCCTATTTTCATGAATTTCTAATAAGCATTTATATATGTACAATGATATTACAGTCATGATTTTATATTTCACAAAATGCTTCCTTGCTGATTCCCTTCTTTTAATTCCAGCTAAAATTCTTATTGCTCTTTTTTGTGCTATGAGTACTCTTTTAGCATTAACGCTGTTTCCCCATACTGTTATGCTATAACTAATTAGAGAATGCACATACGCGTAATAAATCGTTATCATAGTTTGACTGTCAGTAAGCGGTTTTAATTTTAAAAGGGCATAGTTTTGCACTACGGGTAGTACAAACTATGCTCAACACATTTTTTGATATATTTAAATGCTTGTATGATCTATGTTTTCCTTACAAAATTATAAAAAGGACAATAAACTCCACACGAAAGTGGATGTCAAAAGGGCTTAGGGTTTGCTGTAGAAAAAAAAGACAGTTACTTTGGCGTTCTAGGTTGAGCAAAAATAACGATAATAAGATTGCTTATACATTATATAGTAGAAGGTTAAAAAATATAATTAAACAAACACAGCGCGTAAAAAATGACCACTTTATAAAAAACTCAAAAAACAAAACAAGAGCTACCTGGAAAATAATTAAAAATTCTAAGAATGTTATGCCTAAAGAACCCGTATTAAAATTACGACTACATAATGAATGCCTAACTAGACCTATTGACATTGCAAAAGCATTTAATGACTATTTCGTAGATACAACTAAAACTAATGACTCTAATTTTACTCAAATTGAAAATGTTAATGAAAATAATGATGACAGTAATAATTTAAATATACACAAACTTACTCACATAAATACTAATTTAAAATCTGTATTTCTAGGTCCTACGACAGCTGATACGGTTTTAGAAATAATATTATCTTTGAAAAATACAAATAGTGTTGGGTTTGACGATATTTCCACAAAAGTAGTAAAGTATGTTGGTCATTTAATCGCACAACCATTGAGCCATATCATAAATTTATGTCTTACAGCAGGCATATTCCCCAACAACTTAAAAATAACAGTCATAAAACCACTTTTTAAAAAGGGTGATAAAGAAATTGCAAATAACTATCGGCCAGTAGCTTTGTTATCAGTCTTTTCAAAAATCTTTGAAAAAATTGTTCATAGTCAACTTTATGAGTTCCTTGAAAAACATAATATACTAGCAAATGAGCAAAAAGGGTTTCGTAAAAATACTACTATAAATACAGCTATCTATGATTTAGTGAAAAGATCTATTCTATGTCTAGATAAACGAGTACCTTCATGTGCTATTTACATGGACATGAAAAATGCGTTTGACCTTGTTGATCACAGCATTTTATTAGAAAAATTAGATCGTTATGGTATTCGAGGGAATGCGCTAAACTTAATAAAATCATATTTGCAAGATAGACTTCAATATACTGAAATAGCACAAATTTGTATGTATTCTAAGCAGGAAATAACTTACAGATCCCCTATTAGGTCAGTCAGATGTGGTGTTCCGCAGGGAAGTGTTTTGGGTCCTTTATTGTTCATTGCATACATTAATGACATAGTTAACATTACTACATTTCCAATGATATTGTATGCAGACGATAGCACCGTATTTATAAAATGTGAAAATATTGCAAGTTATGAATACCATATTAACACAGCTATCAGAAATATTATTAAATGGCTCGAGTTAAACAAATTAAAAATAAATCTAGATAAAACCAATTTGATGCAATTTACACAGCGGAAGTATACTCCAAATTTATCTGTTAGTTATAATAACAAAATGATTAATGAAACTAAAGTTGCTAAATTTCTAGGTATTTTAATAGATAGTAATATGTCATGGGAATCGCACTCCACTGAGGTATGCCAGAAATTATATAAGTTTTCATTTGCATTGTACAAATTATCAAAAATAGCTGACCAAAAAACTGTACTAACGGCGTATCATGGTTTCGTGGCGTCAATTTTACGGTATGGTATTATATTTTGGGGACTTTCAACCTACAGAGAAGTATTGTTGAGGGCCCAAAAACAATGTATTAGAGCAATTTGTGGATTGAAGAAAACGGAGAGCTGCAAGCCATATTTTAGGTCTTTGAATATATTAACTTTACCATGCTTGTATGTATTGGAATGCTGTATTTTTGTAAAGAAAAATGCAGAGCTATTCAAAATTAAGGAACAACAGAATCAATACACACTTCGTCCTCGGAAACCTCAGATCTGTACAAGTATTTGTAAAACAGCTCTCATGAAAAGAAGTGTCATTGAAATGGCTCCTAGATTGTATAACAAGCTTCCTGAACAAATTAAACATTACAATATTATTAAATTTAAAAATGCATTGACGAAACTATTAGTAGATAAATGTTATTATAATATTAATGAATATTTTTTTGATAATGATATACAATCAATATAATATGTATAATTTAATATTAATATTGTATATATTTTAGTAAGATTGTGCTCGCATTATAAATAATTTCTATAACGTATAATTAAATTTTTGACAATTATGACATTTAATTAATTTTAAGAAGATTTGCATGCTGTTAATAAAAGCAAAAACATGTTGAACTTTAATAATACCATGAGAACCTTATGTACCATGTTTTCAAGCAAATAAAATGATTATTACACACAAACGGGTAGTGTAAGCGCGGAGGTCTCGGTAGACTGGCCGGATAGCGAGTTCGTTCGTGATTCCCGCGGGCGACCGATCGCCGTTGACCCCCGAGCGAGCGTGCGCTACTTTAACTCCCGCGACTTATTGGATCCTGGTACATTATAACGTTGAGCGCTACGACATAGCCACGCCATCGCGAGACTCTACCCCCCCCCCCCCCCTCTCTCTTTTGACCATTAACTCGTATTATTTATCAGATAATAATTTAAAGTTTTCATAAATTTCTCTCCGAATATTGATATTAATGTAAATAAAATGAATTAAATTATAACAACGTGCCAGCTTGTGTAAAAAAAAAAAACTAAAATTTCGGTTTAGCCTAAAAAAAAATTTACTGTTCATGAAGTTATTAATCTATACAATAATTTACTTGAAAAATTTAAATGTCAATATTATAAATACCAAATAACACACATACCGAATTACTTACATAAAATGATACAACCTTCATCATGAAAACTACAAACACATACGCGCAAATATTAATCAGATGCTCATACGTTTTTTTTATATACGTTACCTATGCACTATGCGACGTTACTTCACAGTTTGAATTTGTCACGGCACAGCATCTCCGAAACTATTAATCGCAGACATGCCGTTACTCGTCCATTACCTCGCGGCAGCGGCGACTGAAATCGGCGAGATCGGCGAAATCGGCGGAGTCGGCGGGGTCGACGCAACGTGCGGCCACGTGCTCTGACCTCTCGGTGACGGCGTGGGACGCGTGGTTGGCGTGTCGGCGTATTCGGCGAAATCGGCGTAATCGGCGGGTTTCACTGACCTCTGGGCGGCGGCGTGGAGGGCGCGGCGGGCGCGGCGGCGTCGGGCGGGCGCTCGGCCCAGCGCGTGAGGGCGCGCAGCACGTGCGGCTCGGCGGCCTGCAGGTGCGGGGACGCCGCCGCCGCCGCCAGCGCCGAGCGCGGCAGCCGCGCCGCCGCCGGCGACGACATCACCGCCACGAACTCGTCGCGCAGGTACCGCATCGCCTGCCTGCACACACGACACAGCCTGACGGTTTCAAGCCCACGCCGGTTTCGAGCTCGGGAAAATCAACTCTTCTACATTGTCCACCGGGTGTTGTCTCAGATACTCCATAAAACGAGGGCTTTAGCTCCTCGTCTTGGAATATGAGCAATGTGTGTGATCTTGTCTTATACCTAGTTATTTAACTTCAGTAACTAAATAAAGAGAAACTATTTACACTTCCGCTTCAAAAGATCTAATCCTATTATCCTATTAATCCTATTAATATTATAAATGTGAAAGTTTCTTTGTTTGGATGTTTGTACGTCAATCACGCCGAAACTACTGAACGGATTTTGATGAAATTTGGTGTACAGATAGGGTGTTAGCTGACTTAGATAATAGGATACTTTTTATCCCACTTAACATTTACCTAAGGTCCACGCGGGCGAAGCCGCTGGCGAAAGCTAGTATTAACCCCTTGAGTGTCGTACGCACATACGTATGTTCGTAAAATAAAATGGTCTAAAGTGTCGGACGCACACCCTATGTGCATAAGCGGATTGATGTAATTGGTCGTTGATTTTTGTTCTTAGCTTAGTCCGAATCACGGTCCGACTTTACATTTCGTTTCTTTACTTAATATTTAATACACTAGGAACAATTCTAGATGGATTCGGACCGCCAAGCCAACCCAAAAGTAATAAAAACAAATTGTCTGACATTCATTGTCGAAGTGAAATTTAACGTTGTTATTGTGACTGTTTTGTGAGTGTTATTGTGATGTTTTCGAGACGTAAACGGTATGAATTTTTATAATTACCTACTAAGAAATAATTATAGTTTATTTGTAAAGTAAGAAAAGATAAAAAAAAGCAAAAAATATGCTTGAAAAAGGGCTGTAACTTTTGAAGTGTGTTTATTTTCATCGTTTCGTCGACCATATTTTGTCATATATTACTGTGAAATATTCTTATATTTCCTTTGAAATGATCATTAGTAGTGAGATTATTTATCTAGGAACATAACGTAACCAATCGTTACTCATTTTTCTGAGATATTTTGTTTGAAACGAAGTTATTTATACTATAACTTCGTTTCAAACAAAATAGCTGTCAAATCCAACCGCCATTTTGGTGTATTACGTAATGAAATACCATCAGCATAAAAATTGTTTGGATGTGTCCTACTATAATAATATTAGAAATGCGAAAGTTTGTTAGTATGGATGTATGTTTGTTGCTCTTTTACGAAAAAAGAACTCGATGAATTTGGATGACATTTTTATAGTAATATAGGTTATACCTGAATATATTATTTATCCCATAGGCTATTATTTATCCCGATTTTCGCACGCGCACTACGCGGGTGAAGCCGCGAGTTGTCGGTAGTATTTTTAAAGTACAATTTTATTATCAATTATAATAGATAAAACAATTACTACACAAAAAGTAGTAAGAATCATATGAATACTCACACTCTTTTTTTAAACTGACGTTTTTTATTTCATAATAAATAAAAATAAATTGACATTATCTATCCAACACTGATGTTTGAAAGTGGACGTGAGTAGGTATATCTAAAGAGTCATATATAGAGATGCGTTTCTTGAGAACATTCTCTGTAGAACCATTGCATTGTTTATTTCACATAAAACATATAATATGAAAAAACATTATTACTTTCTTGTATTCATAAAATCCGTATTTTTTGTCAGTTTAGAACACAAGACAAAAGATTTTGATTATATTGCAAGCACATGTATTTTGTTTGTAAAAAATCATAACAGTCCCTAAACACAGGACATTTTTGTTTAGTTTTGCCTTTGCGATCTTTTTGTTGACCATTATACTTTACCAGGTAAAGATACTATCTATTCAAATCGTTTACGGTGTAGCTGGTCGTAAGAAATAGGTATTTAGTAATAAACAATGTCGTAAAAAAACAATGTTTTAGATAAGGCTATCATTTAGCATTCAGCCGGGACCTTTGTTGTATATCACAGGTATGTTGTTCTAACGTTGTCGTCATGAACGGTTACAACTGTGTATTTATTTCTACTTGACACTAAAATTAAAGCTGCATTATATTTAAGCTAATAAGTTTTCTCCTATAAAGTAAGTTGGTATGGAACAATACTATTTAGAAAATTAACAATATTTGCACAATTTGAAAAAAATATCAATAAAACCCTTTTTGGTCGTTTTATCATTATTATTAGTGAACAAAAACTAAAATACGTTCATAATATTAATATAATTTTGATTAGGATATAATTATTTATCTTTATTAATGTCAATATCAACAAAATCGAAATGACATCAAATGTATTACATAATTTTGTTCATATATATTTTTTGTCAACGGTACCATTGCGATATCACGTGGTCCGTCTGCACCAACGGTCAACCGGCCCGGTGGACAGTAAATGGCCGACATTACGAATTCTCGCGCTAACGTAATGTAAATTTTTGTTTTACGGTATCAGTTGATTGTTTAGAAACGAGTAACTTATGAAATAGATGCGTGAATATATGTGTGATAATGTGACAGTGTTTGTGTTAGTGTACATGTGAAGGAATCCGATATTTCATCTTTCGTTGTTGGAGTCAGCATGTCGAAAAATCATAATCGTCATTTGTTTTTCATCTTTACGCATAAACGTGAGTATTTCTAACTAAATAATATATTTTACACGATCAGAAATTTTATAGCGAAGACAATGATGTGCGTATTATGTAATTATTATTGTAATAGAATGCCCTAATAACGGTTTTTGTGAGCTATAGTAGTCAAGGTAATATTTTTTTTGAAATTCACGACATGCTAGCCATATGTCCGGTAGAGAGAGAGAGACACTCAAGAGGTTAAACAAATCTCAGCTCTCCATATGCACGACATATATCAAATATCGCATACATACGCACATATCGAGTGCTAACAGATCAACTCTTTAATTTTTACTCTTTCAGCGGCTAAAAATCCTAATGACCATTAAAAAAAACCGAAATCAGAAACAAAAAACTGTTTAAGTACAGTTTAAGACATCATCATCATCAATTCAGCCGAGAGACGTCCACTGCTGGGCATAAACCTCCCCCAAAGATCTCCAAAGCGATCCTATTTAAGACATGATTAACTTTAAATACTCAATAAAAAAACCGGTCATATATTTTTTTTAAATAAGCCAACTATACATATTACTGACTAGCCTTCCGCCAGCGACTTCGTCCGCATGATTTAAATTTTAAGTCCAGAAACGAGAAAATTCCATAAAAACTTTCATCCCCTAACTTACCCCATTAGGGGTTGAATTTCATAAAATCCCGTCTTAATAAGCATCTATATCCTAAAAAGAACCCGCATGCAAAATTTGAAACTCCTAGCACTTGTAGTTTCTGAGATTTAGTAATGAGTGAGTGAGTGACCTTTCGCTTTTATATATACTGACCTGTGCACCCAGTGGGAGGCGTGGGGGGCGGAGGCCCAGCGCAGCACGTGGGGGAGGGTGTCGGGGGAGAGCGCCTCCACTATCGCGTCCTCGCAGCCCTGCACCACGATAGGCATCTCCAGGAACCTAACACATGCGTATATATGTAAGGGCACCCCTTATATGACCAAAAAAAAAGAGCTAGATAGTGCAAAATTCTATTGACATATTAATAAATAAAAAAAGCGCACTGATTTTCTTAAAAAATCCACATGAAACTATAATTCTTTTTAACAAATTGTGTAATATTTTTTATAGTCATATTTGATTACGAGTAACGGTTTAAAAAGCAAGCGTAAAAATATAAACACATATTATAACTCTCATTAACATGGCAACATTCACTAAGCGATGTTTTAGTTTCATTTTCTTATTTGGACATGCGCTTTAATAAGTGTTAAGAATTGTAGTGAATTTCAAGGCTGGCTCTGGCAACATTTTTTAACTATAAAAAAAGTGGAAAATGGGTATTCCTATTTTGCCTTTCACTTTTCACTTCACTTTTAATTTTTCGAATTAAAAAGGTTGATCGAATTTTTCATACTCTCGTTTTCGTATCGGTTTGTTTTTTGTGGTGAAAAAACACCTTATCGCAGTAAATACATTTAAATATTAATAAATTAGAGTAGCTAGGTAGCGTAGTGGATAAGCGCCGCGGCCCGCGATCGTTATCGTTAAGCAACTTTCGCAAGGGTCGGTCGCGGGATGGGTGACCGAAAAAAAATTATCTCTAGCTGAATGAATGATTAATAAATTGTGAAGTGAAACTGGTTTTATGCGAGTTTACTTTGATTCGACTATCGACGACTTGGTGTGGTAGGGTTTATACTTGGGTTTCCGCGGTAAGTCTTGACAAACTAACGAACCCTAGGAGGCCTGAGACATCATCGTGGTCGATAGGTGAAGCACCTATAGCGGAACTGGTTAAGTAAAAAAAAAACTACAGTCCATTAAATATTAAACAATAAGGAAGAACGAATGATCAAGAATGGTGAATGTGGATTTGACAGCGGCGTTTCCAACTCATTCATTTATCTCAAAATCCGCTAAAAAACGTGGCAAAGTGTAAAATGAAACTAAATATCGCCATTATATTTTAAGACGTTCCGTCTGTCTGTATAGTTTTAATTGTTTATAACTTTAACATTGTTTTAAGACCTTTAGCTATGGATGCACATAAATGAAAGAGCCAACCTTTGCACGTAAAAATGTATCTGGTAAAAAAATAATTTATTATTATTATTAAGATGTCATATCCCGTGATCAGATAGGTGATTGCACGCCTTCAGACCTATTCTGTTTCTCCGGAAACGAGATTACGTTATATATTTTCGAAAACTCCTCCGTCCTCCAAAGAAACACATTTTCCGATTATTAATAATTCAACAAAGGTAAGAGACAGAGACAGATAGGCTATCTGTCTCTGATATCTAGATGATCTTAGCGGATTCGAATTATTTTCGTTCGAGAACAAACGGAATAGGGCGTCAGGTGTGATGTGTAATACATAACAAGCAACACACTACACAAAAGCTAATTGTGTAATTTTAAAATCTAACGCAATTTCAATTTGAGATTTATTAAAAGGTATTCACAAATTTTAGACTGTCTTTTTGACATGTAATAGTGATTGCAATTACGTTCTTTTGAAAGATACTGAATGAACGATATCGTTAATTACAATAAGGATGACGAGTAATCGTTTGTTTGTTTGTTCGTTAGGTAGATAGTAGAAAAATATTAAATACATTTTTTTTATTTTTTTGCATAATCAATAAATTACGGAGATAATTTGAAATGTCGCATGACGTCACGCTTTTGTACATTTTCTACAAAACTGTGACGTAGCGAGCCCCCCCTCTTCAACTTTAATGCGTATTATCTAAGCCATTTCTTGTTTAAATAAAGAAGTATTTAAAAGAAGAGAAAGCACTAAAAAGCACCTCCACTAGATGGCGACTCTAGCAAAAGTTGATTTTTGCAGGAAACGAATGGACCAAAGACAGTCATTTCCGTTCCTTTTAACTGACATATTAAAAAACTGAAACATGCAAAGTTCTAAACTTATATATCAATACAAATACGAAAATGTACAAATAGAATATGAGTTGTTTATTGGGTTTTGAAAACTAATTTACTTTTATACACGAAAGAAAACCGGAAGGGTTGTCATGAAGAAATCAAGAACGTACCGTAGCGACATCTAGTTTGATTTCGGGAACTAATATTTTTGTTTTAAAAACTTCCTCATCGAAGCAAAAAAAAAAATACGTATCTATTTTTCTCTTATCTAGATTTTATTTTGACAAGGCGAGTGAAGCGTAACGCTAACAGGCGTATATATCGTGCAGTGTCTGGGCGTTGCGGGTACCTGGCGATCTCGTACAGCTGGAAGGCGTCGTCCAGCGCCTGCGTGGAGGCGGCGCGCCCGCGGCCCCCCCACGACTGCTGCACACACACGCATGCCGGGTGTGAGATGGGTGACCGACAGAACATTCACTAACGCGCTTAGGGCAGTCGCGGTTGCATTTGCAGAACGTTAACACCCACCTATACTAACTGGGCCTCAGCACTGGGCAATTTAACAGGAAGCCGATGATGATAACGCCACCCCCCCCCCCCCCTCACAGGTTTTGAGTATTCCTATTCTATCTACTGTAACTCTAGTTTTATTCATTCTCCCCTGACGTCCAAAAGCCAGTGGTTGTTGAACTATGGGTGATTGCCCCCAAAGGGTAAACGGCTATTTTGTGGAGTGATTGTCGCCGCGGGACTAAACTAGCTATTATCTGGGGGGTGAAAACACTAATCTGTTCGAATTAAAAGAGAACCTTATAATTGAGACTACATTCAATAACAGATTACTAAAACCTTATAAACGTAGGACATGTTTTATAAAATTTATTAGATAATAAAGTAAAATAATTACATAACTTGCGACCTGTGGATCGCAAGAACGAAAACACGGGCGGCCATGACACGGGCATCGTGTGACGTCACATTTCGATAATCCAAACGTCGAACTCTACCTTCCGAATGCTAACAGTACTCGTGTTTATTGAAATGTGACGTCACTGCTCAAAATGTCACGTGACCGATGTCTTTTATTCCACAACACATTTTGGTGAAAAACAAATAAATACAATCACAATGAAAGGTCTTAGAATGCTTTTTTCAAAACAGAGACCTTTTCAATATTTTGGTCCGGATGGGAGATTCAAGTTTTTATAAATTCCGTGTGATCGGTGTAGAAATATATATAAATAAATATCAAACTCACCGTACTGCTGCCACTGGTGGTTGTGGAGGAGGGAGACGATGAGTTCCTGCCTATTAGACTCAGGTCCACCTGTAAATATTAACAAATAACACGTACGAATTAACATGACACCTGAATGGGCTCTCATTCATTTGTACCGGAACGAAGAAAATTGGGAATAATTTAATTTAAGTCTTTGCTTAAAATAGAATAACAATAGGGATGATGACTAATTTTTGATCGTTTGTCCGTCAGGTAGAGTGTTAAAAAATATTAAACACGTATTTTGTACCCGGCTGTGTACAGGCAAGCACAGCGGTGTACCCGGTCGTGTACAGTCGAGCACGGCGGTGTACCCGGGCGGGTACAGTACCTGGTCGGTGTAGGCGGCGTGCAGCAGCGCCCTGGCGAACCTGCGCGGCAGCACGTTCTCGTCCACGCACACCACGCCCGCGCCCCCCGGCCCCGCCCCCGCCCCCGCCCCCGCCCCGCCCAGCCGGCACATCACGCTCCTGCACACACGATCGAGGCGGAGGTTATTTCATTATCTATACTAATATTATAAATGCGAAAGTAACTCTGTCTGTCTGTTACTTAATCACGCCTAAACCACTGAACCAATTTGCATGAAATTTGGTATGGAGATATTTTAATGCCCAAGAAGGGACATAGGCTACTTTTTACCGCGGGAAAATGACGCATTCCCAAGGGAAAATAATCTAAATATATATAACTCAAAGGTGACTGACTGACATAGTGATCTATCGACGCACAGCCCAAACCACTGGACGGATCGGGCTGGAATTTGGCATGCAGGTAGATGTTATGAGGTAGGCATTCGCTAAGAAAAGATTTTGATCAATTCTATCCCCAAGGGGATAAAATTAAGGATGAAATTTTGTATGAAACTTTGTCAATTTTAAACCGATCAGGCTGAGATTTTGTATAAATAAGGCTACTATGACGTAGGCATCCCCTAAGAAAGGATTTTGATAAATTCCATCCCTAAGGGCATAAGCTAACAGGATAAGACTTTTTTTTCAGATATTTTACACAATATATTGAATAAATATTCGTTAGAAATGCTGTTCAAAGTAACTTTATCACGTGGACAAAATCGCGGGCGAAAGCCAGTAGGTATATATATTGGGCTTCGATCAACAACACAACTAGTTGCCCGGTCAGAGTCTAAAAAACGACCGAAGCAATAACGCCTCCCTTCAAAGTGAGATCTTATTTTGTTTTAGTTCGCCGACGCCATAATTCGGACCCGATACGATGCCCCGGGGCGTGTTAAAACTACAAAAATAACTAACGGAATAAAAAAGTGGCTGATTCGGTTAGTAAATGTCATTTAAAAAGATCCGTAATAGGGATGATGACTAATGTTTGTTTGTTTGTCCGTCAGGTAGAGTGTTAAAAAATATTAAACACGTATTTTTTTATTCTTTTCGTAATCATAAAATTACGGCGTTACATTGAGTTGAAATTTCGCATGACGTCACGTTAGAGTACGTTTTCTACTCAACTGTGACGTAGCGAGCCCCCACTCCTCAACTTTAATGCCTGTTATCTAAGCCATTTCTTGTTAAATTGAAGTAAAAAAAATACGTATCTAATATTTTTCTATTATCCGACTGACGGACTAAATAGAATTGCATTTTTTTCACCCAGTCATCATCCCTATTAATATAATCAAAGTGTTTTCAATAATATTATATAGTTTTGTATCTGAGCCAACCCACGCGCCAATATAGGAAACATCTAATCATATATTCGATGTTCTAAGACAGCACATACATGGAGTAATGTCCTAAATTTTATTTTATAAAAAAAAAATTAAACAAAATACCCCACACCTCTTTAAATAGGGTATCAGACAACTTACTCTAAAATCTTTTTTTTCTTTTTTAATTTTATTGAGGAACAAACAGTTTTATACATTTTATGAGCATAAAATATTAACAAAAAATAAACCTACACTTTCCATATACGACAAAAGATATTGACTTATTAAAATCTATTTTACTTAATCAATATATGTGCTTTTTCCCACACAAAAACATTATTTCATTTGAAAACCGGTAGGGTTGTCATAGAGAAATCAAAAAAGTACCGTAGCGACATCTAGTTTGAATTCGGGAACTAATTTTTTTTTTATACTTTCTTATTATAACGAATACTGTGCACAAATACTTATAACTGTCACAAAAATTCAAAAATATCAACTAAATTTGATGTGTATATAACATTGAAGTGATATAAATAAATAAATATATATATATATATCATCTTTACGAAGATCGTTTGATTTAGTTTCTTTTATTTTAATTGCTAGTTACTCGATTATTTAATTACTCGATTGTAAAGAGAGCGTGATCATCGATACTACTAATTTTATTAGAATGGTGACACTGACTTTGACAGTTCGTAAATGTAAAGCAAATTGCCGCCATTTGGCACACATTCTGTTTCTGATAACACATCCGACGACATCGCGCTCATCTCGTTATATTTTCGTATGAAAAGTGATAAAATGTAACAAATCCACGTCGGTATACACGCCTGCAGTGTTATTTTATAGATAGTCCCCCGATATGGACGATCTATTTGGGCTTCGTAATAGCCCCTTTGAATACCCGCCGTTATATATATATTTACCTGAAATATCTCGACCTGGCGGCTAAAACTATCCGATGGGCGGCGAGCTCGTACCCACCCCACGACAGCCGGCAGTCGGACATCTCACCTGAACATAAACACCCAGACGGAGCCCATCAAGTGCCATATTGAATACTAAGCACATGCGACTTTTTTAGATTTTATTAGCACTGATCAGTTAATAAATCCAATTTTTTTGTTAAAAAACATTCTTTTATAATATAACAAGACTTTCTAATAATAAACAAATCAATGGTTCAATAAAAAGTCAAGTGCAAGGTGACATCTCATAAAAATACATCATCATCAGCCCTTTTACATCCCCACTGCAGGGGCTCAGGCCTTCCTTATGGACGGTTAAGGAGAATGGGCCATGACCCTCCACGCTGGCCAAATGCGGATTGGAGGGTATTAACGACTGCAAATGCAGCCGGGACCGACGGCTTAACATGCCTTCCGAAGCACAAAAAAATTTCGGTCACCCATCCCGTAACCGACCCTTGCGAAAGTTGCTTAACGATAATGATCTCGGGCTGCGCTTATCCACTACGCCACCGAGCTACTAAAAAAATACATATTTAAAGATAACATCTTTTTAAATTGAATAATTTGAATGCTATTAAATGATTACAATTATATATTATAGGTACGTGTAGTGTCCGACCGAATGTCCGGCTTCGGTTTCGGTCGAGTTTCGGCAAAAAAAGAACGTTTTTCGGTTTCGGAGGCTATGAAACTATGACTGAAACCGAAACTGCATTCTCGCGCTGTGTTTGATCACATGTGGCGCAGAAATTTGTGGAACTATTTCTGCGCCACATATATTGTGGGTTGCCAGTTGTGTGTTATTAAAGCTTTGTAATTTCAAGATATAGTAGTTTATGCAACTGTCATATAAGAAGGGGTATTATAACACGAGAGTCTGTATATATATATATATAATAGGTCGACTCGAGTGTTTTAATACACAAGTTATATGCAGTTTCATACACTACTTTATATTAACTCATAGGAACAAATGAAATTAAACAAAGTAGGTAATTTATGCGCGCGCCATTTTTTCATATTCAGCCTAAAACCATAGACTAGTTTAATGAATAAAAAAAGATAGCGGTACTATAATGAGTTTTATTTTTAATATTATTTTTATGCGTTTATAAAGTGCGTATTTATAGAGGCGTCTTTGAATACGTAATCCGATTTTTTCTATTTTCTATTTAATAAAGACTGACAAATTATAAAAAAGTTTTCTTTATTTGTCCCTCAAAATATGGTCTGAAAAGGAAGTTTCGGTTTCGGTTTCGGTCGGACACTAGGCACGTGTTACAGACCGGCCTCGAGCAGGTATCTCATGTCGCGATGCAGCGAGTCGCAGGAGATCCCCAGTTTGGCGGCGAGTCCCCCTCCCCCTTCAGCGCAGCCGCAACTGTCTCCCTCCTCTCCCTCTCCCCCTCCTCCGCCTGACAATCACACCACGACAAATCGGACTTATTAAAATATAGATACATAATATATCTAACTATGTTTTGATAAACAAAAAAAAGGGAAGAAACGAGGGACCGAAGAGAAATCCCTGTAGGACAGTGTGATGCTAATAATGGAATTTTTACGGGGTCACTATTTTACAAATTCCGACTGTCGGAAATATAAAATATCCGATATTCTATTCAAAACGTTATGTTTTCACTAAACTTAGGAGTCGCCTAAATATCTAGGAATCGCCTAAGGTAAAAATTAAGCAATGTCTAAAGTTATGAAATTCGTTATGCGCTGTCTTGCGCTAAGCATGACAGGTCATGAATATGTCAAAGGATAAACAATTTTTTTAGAATTAAGATATTCGTAATATTAGGCGTTTCCTAGTTAAACTATGCCTTGTTCTAGGTTAGTGAAAATGGGTGAAAAAGATCTACACAATTGGTGTGTAATTGGGAATAATGCAAGTATTTTTTTTTTCAAAACACCAAGTTCAATTACCTAGTTTTGTTTTTTATATATATTAATGTACTTTTTCTTGTTACTAAAATCGATGATATGGTTCCCAAGAACCGATTTCAATTTTTACACCCTGTATATAAATAAGCAAAAACTGTTTGCAGTTAGTGGAAACTCACCATTGGAGATATCACCGTTGATGATGTCCAGATCAACGCCCGCGTTCCCGTACTCTACAAATATATACAAATTATATATATCAACAGTATGTCTGTATGATCGGGGTAAATAAAAGTAGATGAGTCAAATAATGTAGATGAGAGCGATAGAGGTTGCATCTGTAGCGGTAAACACCCACCAATCCGTAGTAGGCCCGAGTATGAACAATGTATAGTGTTAAGGAGAGCAACAGTTCGTCTACGCATTACTAGATGGCGTTATGCGCCAATGAATCGCGCTAACACTGTTGAAACTGCCTGTGTCATATAGGTGTATAACGGGTCGGCGAGAACGGGACAGTCACTGAGGAAGAAAGGGACGGGTAGTAGTTCTAGAACTAATTGGTGATGCCTCGAATACACTAGTAGGGCTGAGGAAACACCTAGAATGTTCTAGATCCTAACCTAGAACATTCTAGATGTGGCATCGGTCCCTATAAAACGCGGTGGACTTGGACTGCCCGTTCCGGGATTCGATAGTGAACAAGTGATCTGAAAGCGAGAACTAGTGCGGTGAACGATCTAATAGTGTAGTGAAGTGTTACTAGTGACGTGAAATAGTGAACTAGAAGTGTAACATTTGTAGTTGGATTACTTTTGTTATTGTGTTAATTAAAGTTGGATTGTGAGGGTAGTCGTTCTAGAACTTATTGGTGATGCCTCGAATACACCGGTAGGGCTAAGGAAACACCTAGAACATTCTAGATGTGGCATCGGTCCCTATAAATATTCGGTGGACTAACCGTTCCGGGATTCCACAGTGAACAAGTGATCTGAAAGCGAGAACTAGTGCGGTGAACGATCTAATAGTGTAGTGAAGTGAATTAGTGAATTTGAAGTGTGAATTTTGTAGTTGGATTACTTTTGTTATTTTACTGTGTTACATAAAGTCGGATTGTGAACTTAATGGGCATTAATTATTATCCTGAACCCGAAAAGTTATCAATGTTACCTCAACAGTAGCAGATATAGTTTCCCAAAGTGGGTTACAACGCCCCCTAATGGGCACTATAGTCCTAATATACCCAGGAAAATAAATGGGGGCGTCGTGTAGGCTTAGTACTCTTGAACGCAATCTCAATCCAATCCAATGATTTCAATCTTAACTCGTAATCTTGAAATATAGATTCGATACTTTCTCAATGTCAATTAGTTCATTGAATAACTACGCAATACTTAACTAATGAAGAAGTGTTATGTATGTATGTGGGTAGTTAGAACGGGCCACGCCCTTCTTTATATTGTAATAAATCAGTGTGCAACTAACTAGCTTGTTTGTCTAACGTATCACCTGCTCCTTCGATATACAACACGTGGCGACGAGGATGGGATTAAAAAAAACAAAAGCACCTCCACTAGATGGCGACTCTAGCAAAAGTTGATTTTTGCAGGAAACGAATGGACCAAAGACAGTCATTTACGTTCTTTTTAACTGACATATTAAAAAAATTAAAATTGAAAAGTACTAAATTTAGATATCAATACAAATATGAAAAACTACAAATAGAATATGAGTTGTTTATTGAGTTTTGAAAACTAATTTACTTTTATACATGAAAGAAAACCGGTAGGGTTGTCATGGAGAAATCAAGAACGTACCGTAGCGACATCTAGTTTGATTTCGGGAACTAATGTTTTTTTTTAAATACTGTCTCATTATAACGAATACTGTGCACATCTATAACTGTCACGAACATTTAAATATGTCAACTAGTTTGTTGTGTATATAATAGAGTTATTGCATTGTCAATAGAATAGGGATGATGACTAATTTTTGTTTGTTTGTCCGTCAGGTAGAGTGTTAAGAAATATTTAACACGTATTTTTTATTTTTTTTGTAATCATAAAATTACGGCGTTACATTGAGTTGAAATTTCGCATGACGTCACGTTAGGGTGCGTTTTCTACTCAACTGTGACGTAGCGAGCCCCCCCTCCTCAACTTTAATGCCTGCTATCTAAGCCATTTCTTGTTTAAATTGAAGTAAAAAAAAATACGTATCTAATATTTTTCTATTATCTGACTGACGGACTAAATAGAATTGCATTTTTTTTACCCAGTCATCATCCCTATTATAGCTGAAGCTTCAAGCTTGGTTTTGCAGGAGGTGTAATAATATAGTTCGGCTACAGTACTGACTGTTGGCGCGGCGGTGCGGGCACGCGGCCCCGGCGGCGTACAGCGCGCACAGCGCCGCGTGCAGCGCTGCGCGCGACGCGCCCGCCAGCCCGCCGTCCAGCGGCACGCGGCACGCCGGCCTACCAAGTCAAATTTGTTTATACAGTTTAAGCTTTTACAGGGCACTTGTGAAAGTCGAAACCTACGGCGGGAGACCTTGTACTGAGAAGAACCGGCGAGAAACTCAGCAAGTGCTGTTTTTTGACGTGGCTACGTCTATGTTTTCGTTCTACAGGGGGTCATTCTGTGAGCAGGAGTATATGCACTAACGCCATCTATTGGCGTATAAGTGAACTATGCTTGCTCTGCAGGGGGAGGGGCATTCTGTGAGCAGGAGTATATGCACTAACGCCATCTGTTGGCGTATAAGTGAACTATGCTTGCTCTGCAGGGAGAGGGGCATTCTGTCAGCAGGAGTATATGCACTAACGCCATCTGTTGGCGCTAGTGAATACTTTTTTCATTCAACAAATGAACGCAACGAATATTTATTTATTTAGTGTTTAGTGTCTTCAATTTGTTTATTTATTTTTTTATCAATTACTCATATATCCATTCATACATAGACGTATCCACGCATAAAATATGGCTGTATTTCTCACTGTTTTATTTCACACAGAGAAGTCTTATTGAAAAGTGACTTCATTAGAATATGAAGTTTACAGTCAGTTGCACAAACGTCCATTAATGTTTAATGATGCCTTTTAGCTCTAATAAATGTCAAATTTGTATGGGTAATAGCGCTTTAAACTGATGTAAATTTTAATGAACTTTTGTAGAACTCGCCGTTAGTGTTGTACTAACGGAATCCCTATTTTGTATCGCAGCCGTATTCTGGTGGTTCGGCAACCGCGAAAAGTTTTTTATCACTGGATTCCACGTTGTTGATAATTTAAAACCATCTTCGCGATTGAAATTGTTGTGATGTTTTTTTAATTTCAATCGTCTCACGCACAATCCGCGAATAGAAATGGCGATCTGCGGAAAGTACCCGCGTCCGATGGAATTCAATCCAGTGATTTTTTTTTCAGAAGATGAGACGTAGCCCGTGACCATGGTCGATGTAACCTGGTCGAAACGTCGGGAAATATTCGTGGATGAAAAACCTAACTATCGAAATCTATCGCGTTAATACCCGTCTAATACAATCTAAATAAACTGCCGTTGGGTATACTCAATTATCAACAGAATACACTTATTTTCAACCATTTGTTTCCGTTCGATCGGAATCTCTTTCAATTTGACATTTGCAAGATATTATATTGGATTAATTTCGCATTCACAATGCTATACTTGAAAAAAATTCTTAATACAGTAACAAGCGCTTGAAAGATTCGTCAGTCCTGTTAGGTCTCGAGCAGCTCAGCGGTTAGAGTAGTCACCCGGATTGCGAAAGGGTTTGAATTCCATCTCAGGGTGCCAGGTACCAAGTGGATTTTTTAAGTATTTTGTATTAATTATATTTGCAAGATATTCTTTTTGCTTTGAAAGATATCGAAAGAACGACATCGCATAATAGACGTAAATGTTACTTCAAGCTAAATTAACAAGTTTAATTGTGTCTCTTGACCGTTCATTTCAAATTCAACCCTGTATAAGTTAACATGTTAGGTTACAAAATATTAATTAATAATTAAAGTTTAACATTAAAAAATAATTATCAAAATCACGCATTCTTGAACAAATACACGACACTCGAAAAGTTTCAAATTATGTATGACCTACAGGGTCACGTGATAAATTACAAATTACAGACTTGTGTCTTAACTTTCGTTTTTTTTTACAGACCAGTGTAATCACGTGGCCTACAAAAATAGTTGACGTGATCTATGGACTTTATGGATTTAAATTCCTTTGTTACCTAATAACGTTTCTCTGCCGTAGAATACACTCGGTTCCTGGTCAAGTAAAGTAGTCTAAGGTGGACTTTCCTACGTTGTCTCGGTTCTGGGTGTTGTGGTTATTTCATATATTTTCCATAATACAAGTGCCAAAGGTTACTTAGTTTTTGCAATGTATGTTGTGTTATTTATATAAGCAGATTCTGATGAACAAGGAGTTATCACTTGAAGTAACACCTCCCTTCCGCTTCTAGAATGATCGATCATTGGACCTCGAAGGCTGATTCCACCTTCGGTGAACATATTTCGAACATATAACCGCCTTCTGGCGGCATGATTTTAACAGTTTAGAACGCTTTCTCATCGATGATAAGTCGACGTGTGCCAACTAAAATCAACAAGTAATCTAAGCACTCACGGCGGGTATCTGGCGAGCAGCCGCCGGAAGTAGGAGGACCTGGCGACGAGGATGCAGCGGTGGGCGCACAGAGCCCACCCGGCGCCCACCAGTTCCACGTCACACCACCATCTGCAACACGATGCCCGCCATTAATCATGTGTGGTTCCAAATAGTGGGGGATTCGACCGTGGTGGAGGGGGGGAGGGTTACAAACACGACGTGATCAATGGACGACCCTATACAATATCTATACTAATATTATAAAAGTGGGACTTATCGAATTTCAAGATCTGTCACAATTTCTTACAATTTCAGTTCAGTTGAAAAATGTTCACGAACTTCATGCTCCAACTATTTGACATGTTATAGCAATTGCGATTGTGAAGTTTTCTTTAAAGATATAGAAAAACGACGAAAGCTATTCAGAAATGTCACATAAAAGAGTTAAATGCTAACTGCGATCTTTCCACGCATTTATTTAGATAAATCCGGTTTAAAACTTAGATTTCCATTAATTTTCTTGAAGATTGCATTTTTTTTTAATTAGACAATAATTGTATTTCCGTCTACAGTGTATTTATTTAAAAGCAAATAAATATTATTATTAGGCTACTGATTTTATAACAAGACAGTATGAACGTGAAGTATGTTAGGGTTTGTGTTGTGTTTACCACAGGGAAGTGCATTGGGGCCTATATTTCATTTATCAGTTTGCGTGTAAGCTCAGTGTGTATGTGTACCACAAAGCATTACGTTGGACCATTGTTTTATTTATTTGTTCACTTACAAGATAAGTATATATGAGTACAAAAGTAAAGTGTGTTGACCCCTATGTCAGATTAATTAGTGTGTACGAGTACCACAGGGAGGTGTGTCGGGGCCGGTACTGCTCTCACCTGTCCTGGTAGGCGCGCGCCAGAGCGGCGGGTAGCGCGGGCGCGGGCTCTCGCGCTAGTTCCGCTTGTGTCACGAGATCCCTCAGAGCCGCCAGAGCTTCCAACTCCTCACACAACAGGAACACCTCCGCGAGTCGCCAACGAGACACCACCGAGCGGATATAGCGGGCGTGCTCACATCCTGTCGGTCAGACATCATCATCATCATTCGGTTATTAACGTCGTCTATTCGTTGAATTGTTTAGACTATTTATTATAACATAGTAAACGAAGGAGTACGTTGCTTTTATACATATGCACCTTAAATGGTTTGCAGACACTTTCAAAATTTATCGTTATTAAAGGTACTCATGGTATGAGTGGCAACTCATGACATGACTGTGCCATGCCCGCGTATACTCTGCGTATTTCTGACAATTTAATAACCTATAAGCGACATTCCTACGTTTTTAAGTTATCGTCGCTCGCTCGGGCCTCGAGTCAGCATACTTTTTTGATTTTACTGTGTCTGTATGTGTGATACCTCTGTCAGGCCGGGAATCCCTCGGGCGCCTGGCGGCGGCCGCTATACGCCTCCGCAGCGTGCCCAGCCCCGTCCCACCCGCTTTCTTCTTCCTCTCTCTGCGGTCACGATCACGACACTCATTTAATTAATTAATGAAAGAAACATGTATTGAACACACTTTTTGCATTACATTCCTCCTCTTCCAGATTCTCTGTTTCCCCTTGGACGTCTTCTTTATAACAGACCGAATGCCAAACTTAACATATATTACAACCTTAGTAACAAAATTTGTAAGAAAACTCTTCATGAAACTTTTCAAAATTTTGCCATACGGAGAGAGCTTTAAGAGCCAGCTTCAAATAAAGTTTATATTATTAAATTGCTTTCAGTCTGTAATACATATGTTAATGGTTAGCTTATGTAAGTTCATCTTCTTATTTTAGTTAAGTCCCAAGTTTTTTCTCTAATAGACTTGTAATTTAACTAAAGGCAGTTCCTAGTTAAGAAACTTGTGTTATTTTACCCAATTTTTTATATTTACATTATATTATACTACGGTGTATAAACTAGGTATAAATATACGAAATTCACAGGTATTTTAATAAATAATTATTTTTGTAATAGACATAGCACAATTGGACTATCCAGTATTGTGTGTTCCAAAGGCTTTAGCTCATTCTCAGCTGATGTAAGATGGCAGCTCGCTATCGAAATATATTTATCTGTATGTATTTTTTTTTATACATACAGATAAATATAGTACTCCAAATGAAAGCTGACATTCCTAACTTGATTATAAATAAGAAGATTATAGATAATATTGTACATTATATATATTAACCACATAACTAGAATAGAGATATACTTACTCATTTTCAAGCGAGTTTGTAGATATTCAGATAATATAATATATTATAACCAGGGGTCGAATTTAAATACAAGTTGGCAAAGAATGATGCATATGAAATTACTCTCATTTACAAAGGAAAAGTTATAGTTATATATATATAAAATATAACTGTCTCGCTCACTTAATGACGTCCGCCATTGTGGGCGGGGCAGCCGCCAGACCGGCGCCGTCGCAAGCCTCTCCATCCTGCACAAGATATTTAAACTTATTAGGTATAAGTTAGATATATCAATAATGTATTGCAATTAGAGATGCGCAGAATATTCGTTTGGTATTCGGTATCATTTTCAATATTTGGCCGAATTACTCATTTTGGCGCCGAATATATTCGGTTCGAGTAGTTCTATTTTCTTGGCTACACAACACGGTATAGTAATAAAAGACAAAACTTCTTATGTATGAACTATGTTATATTATAAGTCTAAGAAGTCCTATGTAGAATGTGTCTAATAAGACTAATAAAATACACCAAGTAAATTTCGAATCAACATTTGTTTTCAAAAACCTGTTTACGTAAACAATGAAATGGTAAACCGAGTAATTCGGCCGAATATCCGATTCGGTAAATATCAAACTGAATAGTATTCGGTATACGATTATTCAGTATTCGGTTATTAAGTGACACTAATATTAGGCGCATCTCTAATTAAAATCCGATATACATATCATATCACATCGATAGCCAAAACTGTATATCCGTGTCTTCAAAACTCGAGTAGCTCGGTGGCGTAATTGCTAAGCAACTTTCATAAACGATCACAGGATGGATGACCAAATAATTCGTATATAGAGTTACTTTATATATCTATTCAGTACTTCGGAAGGCACGTTAAGCCGTTGGTGCCGGTTGCATTTGCAGTCGTTAATACCCTCCAATCCGCATTGGGCCCGCGTGGAGGGTCATGGCCCATCCTCCTTAAGGTCCAATGGCCCGTCCAAAAGTGGGGACGTAAAAAGGCTAATGGTGAATAAACGTTTCGAATAAACATAATAGTCGCGCCTTCTCTTTCTAATTTTTTTTTTAAGTATATATCAATTTTTCAGTTTAATCTGTTACAAGAATTTGTGAAAGCCGAGAGCTATGCCATTGGTTCGGAAATGTACGGCTCGAGATCATGTACTGAGAAGAACCGGCAAGAAACTCAGCAAAGGCTACTCTTTCTCCCTGTTTTATTTCATGCAAAGACATCTTATTGGAAAATGGCTTCATTAGACTGTGAAGTAAGCAAAGGTCGGTGTTGGAAAGGAGATGAAATGAATATTATAGTTACAAGCGTTATAAGCTTGCAAAATTATTGTATGGAAGCAGTAAGGATTATTTTGCAGTAACAGAAATACTTTTTACAAATAAATAAAATTGGTGTGTCTGTGTGTAACATTTTAAATTAACCGCTTTATATATAATGCATATATATGTATACACATTACATATACATAAATATCAATTTATATATTTTTTTGTCAGTCTTCCTGTTTGTTCTGGCTAATCTCTGAAACAGCTGGATTGATTTTGATGAACCTTTCACTGGCATATAACTATTACATATTATGAAAAAAAAATAATGTATATACATCACTTTTTAAGCAAGTCTTTGCATGTATTGGGAGATCACACACTTCCATTAGCACAATATATGCAATATAAATAGATAAGTCTAAAATACAGTAGATCTACTGTAATTACATTGAATCTGTAAGAACTGGGGTAGCCTCGTGTATAATATAGTGTAGGTATAGTCACCTGTGCATGCGATAGCGCGGCGCCCATGTCTCGTGGGGGCGCGCACAGCCAGCACAGCAGCCGGCTCATGGGGCGCCCAACATCACCGCACCGCTACACTCGACACCAAGCCTTCGAACAATGCACACGAGTGTCATCACCACATTTATATTCATCTCTCAGGCCAAGAACCCTGCAAGCTGCAGGAGTGTCGGGGTATCTCTTCATCGTTACCTGGTAGTCTGAAAGAAACATCCAATGAGGCAGTTGTATATAGACCTAGCTCTGGTTTCCTGTTTAGTAGGTCCGTTACCAGAGTAGAGTGCCACACAATCTGTGCCTCTCTGCCCGGTGGCAGGGATAGAGCATTAAACATTTTCCTTGGGAGAAAAATTGGTTTAGAGTAACCGACCCAACATTTTCATATTTAAATGTCAAGAAAGTTAAGAGTATTATGTTAGATTCAAATGTCAAAATCATTCATAATGGAGGCTTATGATAAGGTAATTATGGAAAGAAAACTGCAAGGTTAATAAGAGTCAAGTGAAACTATCTTTATTCATATGACTTATAAAAAGTTCCTACATATTAGAGAGACCATGTCTCTTAAAAACTTTAATAAAGATAGTTTGACTTAACTCATATTAACATTGTCATATTCCTGGCCATAATAATCTTGCCAGAATTCCAGAAGCAATTTACATAAAATCCAGTAAACTACTGCTGAAGATGATCATTTTTTGTAAACTATATTTGACTGTGGCTTTGGATGAATGGATTTGTGATTTATATTTCTATAGTGGAAAAACTGAATAACCAGAAAAAGAATTAGGATAGGTGCAATCATGTTTTTACTAGAACCATTTTAACATGCACAACATCACGTCTAGAAATATAGTTCTCTTGTTATAAGTGTAAAAATAATATCCATCCTTCATAAAAATGCTTATAGTATGTGCATATATCTATATAGCAGATTACCGACAATTTAAGACTCATAATTTTAAAAGTTATTTGACAGGATATTTTTTAGTCGACCAATTTTTTGTTGACTTCTTGTGTATGAACTTAATCTGGTTTTTAGTAAAATGAAATACGGATAACACTTTATTGAAAAATAATACAATCAAATAGCATAATGTATTTAACTTGACATTTCTGATGACAGTTAATGATTTGGATGTCCAAGTGCAGCATTCTAATCAGCACATGTAAATTGTACCTCATTTAAACAAGACTATATGATTGTACCCATTACAAAAATTGCATTTGTTTTTGTATACTTGTAGAACTGTGCCCAAATATGGTATTCATGGCTTTTAACATGCCATACTGAGCATATTTTTTCAACCTCTTCAACAAAAAGACAACTGAAGTGAGATAAATTAACTCTGAAAGAGCCACAACATAAAACACCAGACGGATCCAAGGAACCAGTGAAAACAGAACAGTGTTTTTCCTTCAAGATGTTGATGTTTTTTTTACAAAATTTACTGTATTTTTAAACTTCAAATACTGAACACACTCTCTAACAGATAACACTGATACTATGGAAAATATAAAAACAAATATTTTGACAGAAAATCAGATACAATTTCAATATAACATACTCAGTTTAAATAACAATGAAATTGTTTATTTCAATTAGACTTATAGATTATGTTATAAGATCTCTGGTACTCTCACCTGGCATTTGATCAGATAGATCCATGATCAAAGTCTACATACTACAAGGAAACGACTATACAATGTATGGGGGTAATCTTGAAAGTGAAGGTTTATTTCGGGGGGTGCGGTCCATTTGAGTGAGGGGGTTTATGTTGTGACGTCACGCTGCGCGCGCATCTGACCCCCGCCGCAGCGTGACCTACATTCAGGCTAGGTTCTTGCGACATACGATATAATGTCAACAGCACTAGCTTCCAACGAAATGTCTATTGACCAACACTGTCCCAGAAACAAGACCAAATTCGCATTGACCCCTTTTAAAAATCGACCAACTACGAACTTCGCCAAATGAGTGTAGATAAATAACCGCTATTGAAAACTTTTTCAAGATTAACCATTTGTTAAATACTAACCGATAGTCGAAGGCATTACGTATGTAATTTATTTCACTGTCAACAATAATCACACAAACATTTTGTTATTGCACACTTGTACCAGCGCCATTACTTCACTGAACGTCAACTTGTAAACGATAATATCACTGATCACCGCATTCCCATTGCGTTAAATTAACAATTCGTAACACTTAACACCATAGTTGCATTTAATTTTCACAGAAATTAGTGACTAAACAAGCTCGTTTATTAGAATAAATGAAAAACAAGAACGACACAGAACCCGTTAGCCTGCCGTCTTTCTACGACTGACGACTACCAACCTTAAACAATTGTAAATAAATAGTAGAGCTACCAATATGACATTTTTAAGTAGGTCGACAACCTCACATTCTCATTGGCTGATATAGGTTAGGAATGCGCTATTGGTCAAATTAATGACACATTTTCTTAGAGCCAATCAAATAAAAGATTGTGATAGTCTATGGTTTATGTAGAAAAAAATATATACGTTCGGATACAAATATTATAAATGACTATAGGTATTTGTAAAAAATATTGAATTATGGTGTTTAAGTAAGAAAAAAGCACAGAATAAAATAATAATATCCTCAAACATCTTCACTTATTTGTTACTTTATAGATCGTTACTCATATTTCAAAGATATCCGTAATGAATAAATTTTAATTTAATATTTTGACAAAATCGCACACGGGTATTTTGTATTTAGACATGAAGATAAACAAACAGCAATCGATCGCGAATATTCAAAATGAGTGTGATGACAACATTGCATAAAATATCTTCTTCTTCTTTTTTAATTAATGGCTTATCTGCGCATTTCGCAAAATTCTGCCAATGTCAAGTGAACAAATTATTTTTTACATGTAAAATCAAAATGAAATGAATGCAATAAAATACCTATAATTATGATATGAAATGAAAACTCTATGTTTGACATTGACAACCATAGATGCTTATGCCGCCTGACATTTTAAACTTCACTCATCAGTCACATGTCAAAGAAAAAGAAAAATTGTTTGGATTTAACAGATCAGTTTAATTTATAGAAATTTTTATTTTAAACATATGTATTTTATATATCTTTTACAAATAAGAGATTATCAACGCTGCGTTTACACGTAAATAATAGGTGAGAAAGAATAGGTACTTATTTAACCGGTATTTTAAAAATGTTTACATCTTTCAAGCTACCATTTATTTCAATTCAAATTTAAAAAGCTCGATGACTTGGTGGTCATCGCGTGCGGTCTGCAATACGGTTATTTAAGCAACGTACGTAAGGGCTGGCTGTAGGAGGGGTGACCAAAAAAATTATCTCGCTACTTCGTGTTTCGAAAAGGCACGTTCAGCTGTTGGTCTGAGCTGTATATGCAAGCGTACCCTCTTTTTATTATTTACTTTGAAATTACTTAGCTTTAATTATAAAGACTAGATAATAAAGCTAAGGACAATTAAGTTTGCAATCTAAACAATTATCTTATATTTTGTTTTGCTGCACATCTAAACTTATCTGGAGTGTTGACTTAAAATGTTGTTGTATATACATGCATTGTTTCATTAAAGATATGCTGAACTATTATAAAGAAGGACTGAAGTTAACATTTGGTTTAAACCATTGACCTCATAAAACAAATTGTCAATGACAGAAAAGAAAATGTCAAATGGGAAGTATTGACTTATTTTAGTTGGATACTGGTTTAAACCTGGTACTGAACTCGCTACTTGTTATTAAGACGTAAAATCGAATACTGCTCGACGATTTGGAATCCTTTCTATAATAATCACTCTATGGCAATTGAGAAATTCACAAAACTATTGAGTATAAGATCAGTACCAGCCGTAGTTTGATGTCATATGAGGACAGATTAAGTAAATTCAATATTACATCTCTTAACACACGTCATTATCAACATGATTTAATAACTCTTCATAAATTAGTTCATTCCGTTATTGACTCAGAATATCTTCTTTCATCTATTAACATTCATTTCAAATATAATCCAAGGCGCAGGCATCCAACTTTTGTCATACCGACATATAGAAATAACATATCTTATCATAATCCCATCGCTCATAGGTGTAGAAATTATAATGAGATCCTCCCAGTTAATCAGGCATATTTAATGCCAATCTCTTTAAATTCAAAAAATGTATTAGGGAAGTTGTGGTAGACCTAAATGTCGCATCTTTTTAATCATCCAGATTGATTTATACCCATTATTTCTGTTTTCTTTCATATTAGTAAAAAAGAATAATAATAGTTTATGTTTTTCTTTATCCTATCTCATTGTGTAAACACCTTTAGTATAATTAATTTAGTACTACACAGTTGTTACTTATTATTCATATATATTTTGATTAATATCTGTTGTGTTACCTAATAAATAAATAAAATAAAGACGGGTAGACTAATGAAACATTATACAACTTGAATTTCTTCCGTACACCACTACATCGACACTGGAAAGCAAACACGTACTAACCTGCAAAACCAAAATGGACATTTAGAGAGGAAAATCTTTATATTTTTCGAAAAAACAAATGAATAAGGAACACCTTATTTGTTACCATGGACATTAATAGGAATTATTTATTGAGAAACAATAAAAGTCTTTCTGCTCTAAATAACACTTTTGGTTTTGCTTTGGTTACTATGTGTTTGTTTTCCATTGTCGGCATGTATATTCTCAAAAGATTATCATTTTAATGTTATATAAACACAGCTACCATTTTAATTCTTATTATATTTAAAATTTTAAATAATTTAAAACTTGTGAAAATGTCTAGGAACATGATTCAGAAAACCAACTTGATTTTTATAATATATCCACTCATTTCTAAAAATTTTATTGTTCCAGGTAGTAGCCCCCATGGTTAAACAATATGAGTCAAGATCCAAGCGGTTCTTCCCGGCCGAGTCCAAGCATTATGATTCCCGAATCGCCTGGGAGCCCAAACTTATTATATCCTCCATCTCCAGACAACCAAGACATTCCTCCACCAGCTCAAGACTCTGAAACTAACACCCAACAAGCCAATGAGGACAGTAATGACTCGTCAACAACCAATTATCATGCTCCCGTCTGGAGACGCGGGCAAGACTTGGATGATAATTCGAGTTCGGCACAACCTCAAAGTTCTACGAATGATGACAGCAATGCCAGCACCGCCATACAATCCACTAACGAAGAATCAACCAGTCTTATGTCGTTTCCTGAAGCACATGTCAGGGAAGCCGAAAGTCTTATTGAAGAACCGCCAGCGAAGATTCGAAAAGTTTCCTCCCCCAATAAGTCGGTTGAGTTGGATGGTGAAACTTGTCCAATATGTTTAGATTCTTGGGGGAATACCGGTGACCATAGATTGGTTGCACTAAAATGTGGACATTTGTTCGGTTCGAGTTGTGTCGAACGATGGTTGAAAGCGCAATCGACTAAGGAGAGAGCTTGCCCTACGTGTAAGAGTAAAGCGCATATGAGAGATATCAGGCATATTTACGCTAGAAGATTAGTAGCTGCAGACACATCACAAATCACAGCGCTACAAAAGCAGATCGATATACTTCAATCTGAAAAGACTAGAACAGAATTGGAGCTTCAAAAATCTAGAATAGGTCACAGAGCGTGCATGCTACAGCTGGACGTGTTACGCAGCTCATTATTTAAGTCACAAGTGACCAAAGAGCAACCAGTGCGCAAATCATGGAGGTTCGCGTTAGAAAAGAATTTGGAGATTTGCAAAGACGGCGGTTGTAGAGTTCTGACGTACAACTGCAGAACGTACGAGCTTTACGTGTCACAGAAGAGCACTAACTATTTGTTTCCTGGCTACGGGATAAGGAAAGTTAGTTGTGTTGATTACAAGTTGGGGCAATTCGTGCATCTTCATCCTAAGCCTATCAGGGACATTACGTATTCTCAACCGAGAGACTTGTTGCTGAGCGTCGGTCTAGATAGTACCGCGAGAATAGTTGAACGCGGAATCCCGAGCATTACTGTTCAGTGCGGGTTCCCTCTGTGGTCATGCTCATGGGACCACATGAGGAGCAACGAGTTTTACGTCGGTGGAGTTGGTGGCGTGATACACCAGTACGACGTTAGAAATTCCAGTAATTACATTCAGAGACTGTCTAATCCTAGCGACGTATCGCCAGTCGTATCGTTATGTTCTACGGAATACGGTTTACTGTCGTGCCAATTAAATTCTTGCTGGTTGTGGGTAGCTAATATGCGGCAATGGGAACCGCGGGCGTTGCCTATCGAAGGGCCTTTCATGTCTTTATGTTATGACAACGAATCTCATAGAGCTTTGATATCATGTAGGCCTGGTACTAATGGGGAAAGGTCTAGATTAACATTGTGTAAATTAAAACCGAGTGTTCCGAGTGGAGAAGTGCTATTTGATGTCGAGCAGAGTTTTAATGGGTCTGCGAGGTCTTCATTGATGTCTAGAGCTACATGGGTCAGAGCTCCGGGCGCCTCCTGGATAGCAGCACATTCTGAAAGTGAATCCACTTTATTTCTTCACGGTTTGGATGGAGCGAGGACCATGTCGCTCCCTGCTGCTGAACCAGCTCTGGACGTGTGTTCGGTACAACTGAATGGGGATACTCTGGTGTCTGCGCTATCGGAATCTCGACTCAGATTATACAAAGCTGTGCCAACGACCTCATGATATTAGGTTGAGGTTGAATGTGTCTGCAATGGACTTGTGTTTAAAACTATTTTGACAAACTGTGTTATATAACTTTGTATTTAAGTATGTGCGCCGTTGAATTGTATAATTTATGTAGGGCGTTAACGGCGCTGTCGACTTAGGCGAGACTTCCACTTTTCACCACATAATTTATTTTTCACATATTTATACTATTTTGATGAAACCAGGAACTTGAAACTCGATTTTGGTGGTCTTATGTAAGAAGAGCCCGTAAATCGTCTTATAAACAGAACATGCTTTGGATTAAACATCATTTAAATCTCGTACAGGTGACTGAATTGTATTAAAACATGGTAACTTCTATGGAAACAATAGATATGACATGTTTTTGCAAAATTGAGTAATAATTTATAATTTGTGGATTAAACAAAAACCGAAACGCGGGTCGCCATGATGGAGCATCGATGACGTCACATTTTAATATACCAGACGTCAATGTCTCTATTTTTTTTTTGTAATAAAACTTCACAACCTGTTGTGCAATTGTACGTACAGTAAAAATTATTGAAATGGAATGTCACGTTGAAATGGACTTGCTTGATTTCGCGGGCATTTCTATTTGAAATGTGTTTTTCTTTATTTAATAGCATATTTTGAGAAAAATTAATCTGATAGTGGTTTGATATGTGAAAATTTTAAAACACTTATCCCACAACAGTCAAGAAGTCCATTATGATGAGTGAGTGGTGTTGTTTGTGAATTGGATATTAATTAAACGATTGAAGAAAATAATTTCAGTAATATTATACTCCCCTATTTTCAAAACTATCGCGAGATAATGAATTATATAATTTCGTGGCTAGTTAACAGCGTGCCAGGCTGTACAGAACTGTCTGTCCGCTTGATTTTAAACCTTAATTGACTCCATGTAAAGTTCAAAATCAATTGAGATAATTTGACATGTTGTGGTAGTGACTGACGTGCGGCCGTGTGTACATAAACTTCTCTAGAATAGTTTACGACGAGATCGGTGACAAATAAATTTAGCTGTATACAGAACCATATCATAGTATAAATATATATGTAAGTAGGTGCACTCGAGACCCGAGCGAGAGATAATAGCCTAAACATGTAGGGCTGTCCCTTATAGGTTACTTAATCGTCAGAAATGCATGGTCAATCGATCTCTAAAATATAGTTTCCCCAGTATGGTAAGCATCCGGGAACTATAATACAACTTTCTTATGTTTTTTTTTAGTATATAGACCAGGAGCTGACTACATTTTTTCATACAATCAATCCATTTAGTGTTTTGTAAAATTAAAACGTGGTTTTAATTAATTATATATTTATGTATTTTTTTTCAAAATAATTAGGCTACGAACATACGAACAATGCCGATCTTAATTTTAATAAATATGTGCTTTGTACAAACAGTTTCTAACTATGGCTCATATTTTTTTTATATTACATTGTCTAACACGCAAATATACATTTGAATATCAATTTCAATTTGACCGTATTCGGGCATAGAGATTTAACAAATTAAACTTAAAATTGATATCTCGTAAACGAAATCTTCACCAGAAATAATTCATAAACATTTTCGATGGATAAATAGCTACTCAATATTATAATGATGACTTACGATATTATAAAATGAGATTCGATAGTTCCGTACCTAAAGAACAAAGAAGAAGAAGATAAAAAACAGAACAAATGCTAAGAATTTATTTTCCATCCCTCCGTCTGTACATCCGTCTGATAGTCTGTTTCTCCGTTATAGTGAGACATTAGTTTTTATCGAAGGTTTAAACATTTGTAAAAATATTTTTTTCAGTAGACTGCCTGAACATTGAAGAAAATATGCTCTGTAGTAGCAAAAAGGGAACAAGTGTTTGAAAAATACTAATATTATAATTACTTATATGACGCATTCGCATGAGGACGGACGCGAGTTAACATCGATGAATGATTCCGTTAATATCGACGTTACGATTTTTTTCGTTTATCGCCATCCCTATTGTGCTTAACTGATTGTCACTGTCACCCGTGCAGTTTGGCCAGTGTGCGGTGTTGGTGTTTCCTTGTTTGTTTTTTTGTTTTACGTTGTGCTAAAGAAATTGTCATTTATATAGTTCGCCCAGGTGATAATAAAGGATTTTATTCCTATATCATTCATTGAAGATCTTTTTGGCATCAATAAATAGTAAGTATCCGGGAAAAAATATATTTTGTGCACATGTGCAAAGGATGAGGTCATCGGACTCAATTTATGTTTATATAAATAAGTAACTGAATTTAAGTTCTCACCAATATATTATAACGTAGGATTTAATTCACTTTCCGTAAAAACTGCCAAAAACAAATACTTAAATGAAAAATAATAGGTATATGTAGTAGAAAACAAAGGTGCTTCCCTTATTCACATCTAAATTATCGCGCTGCGTTATTAAATACTTATAATAACGGGTATATTCCCGTTGTCTGTACGCTGAGTTTTTCTAAACTACGCAACATATTAAAAAGCAGTTTTCATCAATATACAGTGTTTCACAAGGAGGGTTTATATGTGTAATACAGGACCACACAGGCTAAGCTGCTGGCTGCTGGCAAAATATACAAGTAGAATATGTAGAACACTTGCCTGCAGAGTGACAGCTCACAGATTCATGTCCAGCTTAGTAACTACTTGAAATACTTAACACTCGCAAAACACATGCACACAAAACTTAATTTGCTGGTAAGTTTTATTTATAATGTATTATTGTAAATTGTTTCAGGCTACATAAACCACATCAAGATGGAGCAAATAATACACCAAGTGGCTCAGAATATGGAGAAGCAACTCGACCATGAGATCGAGAGGTGAAAATTGCAAATTTATATTTGTTTAATCACTTATTTGGGAGCCTACTAATGTCAAACACCTAAATTATTGTTTAACCTTAAAATATTAAATTTTATCATTATTGGAATTCAAATGATATCATGACAGCATTGCAAAAAACAATGTATGGCTGTCCATACTTCTCAATCTTTCTGTGTAGTACTACGTTTTGTTGTATAGAACCACATATTCATACAATAATTTGATATAAATAAATATAAAATAGCCTTTCATTGCTGAAAACAAGTAACAAGTTTCATAAAAGAGTAAATTTGGTTAAATTATGTCCCTTGTGTTGATGTGCCTTAAAGCATGGGCCTCCTCCAACTGCTTCCAGTAATTCCTATCTGTGGCTACTCTTGTCCAGTACGATCCCAGGTTCTGGCAGATTTCGTCCTCCTACCTTTTGTTTGGGTGTCCTTGTTTTCTTGCACATCCCCTTGGGATATCTTACAGTGATCTGCTGACTCCACTTTTCTATTGGACTGTGCCGCATGTATCCCTAGTTTAGATGATAGATTTGTTTAAGTATATCAACCACTTTAGATCTTCTACGTATAGTTGTATTCTAAATCTTGACTAGGAGCTTTACTCCCAGCGTACTTCTCTCTATAGCTCATGGACACCTTGATCCAGTTGATCTCTGTTTTTGGCTGTAAGGGACCAGGTTAAGGAATAATTTGATGTACAGAAACAATAAACATATGGAGAGCAATGTGTTTTTCTGTCTGTTTTATTTGGGTTTTGTTGTAATGAATGGAATTTGACAATAAATTAATCTTTAATAAATTAATATTATGGTCCGTGTCGTCACTGCTGGCTTTGGCAGAATATCAGTGCAGTAAGCCCCGCTTACTGCTCATACTGAGCTGAGGCCAGCTTGGCGAAACACACCATGACACATTTACTTTTTTCAGTGTCTTCATTATGTATTCTTTTTGTGTTTCTCCTTTTTTTTTTGTTGTCATTTTTCTGTCATATTTATAAACTGTATGTAAATTGTGTATGTGATGTGTGTTGCCAAATAAAATCTATTCTATTCTATAAGTTAACATTATTTGGTGTTGAAGGTTATTTTGTCGGTAGGTTGGACGCCCTGGACAGCGGCGATCTTGAGGCCATCAGACAACAGCGCATTGCTGAGATGAAACAGAGGGCTAAGCAGAAGCAGGAGTGGCTCGCTAATGTAACATTATCTTATTATTAATTACTACTTCGCCCGCATACTCCTGTTCTATATTATACATATAAACCTTCTGCTTCAATCACTGTATATTGATGAAAATCCAATGAAATCCATTGTGTTTAAAAGATTGCACCATACAAAGTCAAAGTAATCTTAATTCAAATAGACTTTAAAAGTACCTATGAATTGTTCAAAACTTTTTTTCTACCACTCGTTCAGGACGTCTTTTGGCTGATAAGAAGAACGATTCCATTATCGTTAGTCTAATACCGTTCTATCTATGCATAAGGTTGAAATCTCTAAGTTCTAATATGTGTAAGAAGGGCGTGACGTCATGCGCTGTTTGCGGTCACGTGACACGGAGCATAAAATATTTTAATAAAAATAATAATAATAAAATATTTTCATAACTTTTTCATAATAAGCAACACTTTTTATTAATTACTATATGCCTGAATGTTTTTCATATTTGTTTAAACATGCGCTTTAATAAATATGTTTTGTTTATGTTTACCGATCCGTAATGTTAAGTTAAGTACATATGTATGGAACTATAAGGTTCATATGTTGTTATGTTTATTTTGCTCATATATGTTTTGTTGTAACTGTTTGTTCCTGAATAAATAAAAAAAAAAAAAAATTAATTCAAGCAATATAAAAATAATAAGAATAAAAGAGTGATTATATGTATATATATATAGGAAAAATATACTACAAAATTTTACTAAAATACTAAGTAAAATAATATGGCATTAAATTAGTAACATACATGAATGTTACACGTTACGTTATTAAACGTTACAACTTACATTATAACAGCTATAAACATATGCACAAACAACATAGATTGCCCAGACGCCAATACGTTATTTGCTACCGTAGCACCGTATGACGTCACTTAGTGCCTTGAATTTGTACGCTGTTACTTCTACATTATTTCTCAGATATTAATGGACTATTTATTTATAAAATAAAAAGTTGTTGTCAACTAGCCTATTGTATTTAACTTGAAAACTTCGAAAAACTCCAAAGAAAACAACAAACATGTTTTTTTTAACTTTTTTAATGGATGACGGTACGGAGCCCTTCGTGCGCCAGTCTGAATCGCACTTGGGCAGATTTAAATAGTAGATTTAAACTGCGTAATTTTTAATAAGGTATTCTACTCTGTTTGAAATAATACTTGTGTTTATTTTCATTTAAAAAGTCATAAAATAAATATTTCGGAAAAATAAACCAGTTTTCTTGCCATAAAATTTAATCAAAATTAAAACTTTCTTTTGTACCCGCGAAAACGCTGTCATATTTATGACGTCACTGTGATATGTACACTGGATGCATAGAGTAAAAGATTAAAATATGTCAATAAAAAAAAAATAATGCCATCTAACGATCGATTACGAAATAAAAGATGTAAATGAGCTAAGAACAGCGCCATCTCGGAGTTTCATTTATAATTAATAGGAATATCTTTATGACTAATCCGATAGTTGTCGCCACAGTATCGTCACGCTATGGCGGGTCATGTTTCAAGTCACGTGACACACAGACAAACAAAATCACGACTTTTAATTTTAAGATAATAAAATAATAGTGCGACATTATGACTCAAAATTAAAATTTTAATGTTTATATTACGATATAAATTTTATTTTTTGACGACCACGTGATCTCTCCCCCCCAGGGTCATGGCGAATACACAGAGATAGATGGGGAAAAGGAATTCTTCACTGTGTGCAACAAGAGCAGTAACGTCGTGTGCCACTTCTACAAGAATGACACTCCGCGGTGTCGTATAGTGGATATGCACCTTAAGTTGCTCGCGAAGAAACACGTCGAGACCAGGTTCGTCAAGCTGGACGCTGAGAGGGCGCCGTTCCTCACTGGTGAGTGGGCGCCGTACACTGGCCCATAGTGGACGAGCAGATTGTTGTTATTAAGCAACCTTTTCAAAGGTCGGCCACGGGATGGGTGACCGAAAATTTATTTTATCGACCTGCAATCCGCATTGGGCCAGCGTGGAGGGTCATGCGTGGCCCATATTGCTTAACCATCCATAAGGAAGGCCTGAGCTTCTTCAGTGGGGACATAAAACAAAAAAAATTGCTTTTCCTTGTTACAGCATATTTGGAGGTTACTTCTCCGTGCAAAATCAATAGAAGGATCCTTATTGACTTGTGAATGTTATCTGCAGGTAGACTCAAGATCCGCGTGATACCGACCATAGCCATAGTGAAGGAGAACAAGACTAAGGACTTCATCGTCGGGTTCACTGACCTCGGCAACCGGGACGACTTCCACACGGACATGCTCGAGTGGAGGCTCGCCAGGTGACTGATACTGTCGGCATTGTTATATCTTGAAGTCCTGATTGATCTGCCAAAGTGATCATCTGATTAATCTGCAAAATGATCACCTGATTGATATGACCAAGTTAATATCAGCCTGCTTACTATTGAACGTTCTTATGATTCGGTACACTAATTGATATCAAGTGCATGTTTCAAGAGTTTGAGCTTAGATTTGATGAAAATTGAGATAGTTATTGGATTGGATTAAAATTGACATTGAGATTGTGTTCAAGAGTAAGCTTGCAGATTGATACATCAATTTTTTCTGACTGATCTGTCACAGTGAAGCTGACTGGTCTGTTAAAATGAAACTGATTTGGTTAAAGTATTATCTGATTGATCTGTCAAAATTAAGCTCTTGACTGGTATGTCAAAATTAAGCCCTGGTTAATTTGGTAAAAATTAAAATATCGCGAAAGAGTACTTTTATATTTTTATCTGAGTTTTAAGCTTCTATATTAAACTTTAGCCAGCTTTATGCATCGATTACTCTGCGAACATACAGACCAGATTAAAGAAGTATTTCTTTTCTATATCTAAACAATATTATAATTGATTCTATTCACTATACAGGGGCGACGTAATAGAATATTCTGGAGATCTCCTAAATCCACCGGAGACTAAGAAACAATCTCTACACATACAGAAGAAAAGCATCCGCGGCTCCGCGCAGGACGACGACTCTGACGACTTCAGCGACTAAACGCTGAATCACTGATCTGTCACTTTCACAATAAAGATTTTCTCCGTCAGATGTCGCCACAGTTGTTACGAGAGCCGGTAGTGACATCTGTTGCAACTTCTCGCAATGAGGAAGTATTTAAACAAAAAAAAGCACTAAAAAAGCACCTCCACTAGATGGCGACCTTAGCAAAAGTTGATTTTTGCAGGAAACGAATGGATCAGAGATAAAAAACTGAAATTTGCAAAGTTCGAAACTTAGATATCAATACAAATACGAAAAATTACAAGTGGAACATTTAATTTACTTATATACAAGAAAAAAAACCAGAGATGTTGCCATGAAGAAAGTACCGTAGCGACATCTAGTTTGATTTTGGGAAATATTTTTATTTTTTAATACTTCTTCATTGTTTCTTGTGTCCTTAACGAGTTTCTTCTTTAATCTTATTATAATAATATTTATGCAGAGGCACTTGTGAATCAACCTCAAAGTACATATCTAACATAATAAACAAGAACATTTATTTTATGAATTAATAATTAATTCTCTTTGCATAAATTTATAGGCGTTAACCAACACGCGGTCCCATTGCGGATCGGTGGGTGTTAACGAAGCGCGGGGAAGTGAGCGAGAGATAATAAATTTTCGGTCACCCATCTCGAGCTCGGCCATTGTGTAAGTTGCTTTACAACCGCGTCGCAAACCACTTAAGTTACCTCATTAATAAATTTGCTTGTATCTGAGGGGCTACTCTGTATGTCTGCGAACGAAAATTACAAAAATTACGTTTGTTCTTAGATTTTTTTTTTTTAATCATACGCGTCAATATTGTCTATGCATCAGAAGTGTCAGGGTTTTCATTAGTAATTATCGGCAAAACGTGTGCCTTTAGAGTCTTATTAGGGTTACGAAAATAGAAAAATTTTCGTTTTCGGAGAAACAGAGTAGGCCTTCTGATATCTAAAATGTAAATATTGCTAATGGCGTGATAAAACAAACATTTAACTATAGGGAAACTAGAAAAACAGTTTTTGTAAAAAAAAACAGTTATATTTAACCTCGGATATATATATTTTTTAACTTATAAATGGTTATTTTGAAAATATACAGGTATAATATATAGACTTCAAGGATTTTCTAAATAACCCTTTATAAGTTTATAAAAATATGTTTAAATTAATGATTTGTACATGAATAGATGAATAATTTCAATAATTTATCAGATTGACGTTAAAGGGGTCATCCATAAATTACGTCACACGATTTTCATGACTTTTTTTTTTGCCCCTCCCTCCGTGTAGTCACAGCTGGTCACATTTGTAAGACTCCCCCCTCCTAGCGTGATGTCACATATTTTACAAGGTTTTTGTAAAGTAATAGTTAAAAGTTCGTGTTTTAACACTTAGATTATAATAGATTTTGAAATGTGACGTCACGAAACCCTCCCACCCCCTTGTCACACAATGTCACACTGTCCATCCCCTCCCTCCCCCTTAACGTGTGACGTAATTTATGGATGGCCCCTCATCATGATTTTAAAAGAACCGGACGCCTTGTGACGTCATAATGTAGTAAACAGCTTCGCACGGAAAATGAAATCAATGGAGCTGATTTATTTATATAACAAAATGTAACCATTTGGAAAATTGTATGCCTTATAGAAGTGTGAATGTTGCCAGTTACCATATGGTATCACGTAGAAGTTATGTTTTTTGTATGAAAGATTTTATTTAATGTATGTTTATTTTTTTAATATTTCACAAATAACTTATGCAAATAAATTCGTGTTTTATATGTATGTTTGTTTCATTTTATCCATTTTGATCAGAATAATAAACTTTAGCTACTACATTTCATTAGTTACAAGGGTCAAGGCAAAATTCTAAAACAGTTTTTTTTTATAATATTAAACAGCCAGGCTCAAGACATAAAAGTTTTTTTTTCTACATTGACTACCAGGAATCGAAACCGGGGCCTCCGATACGGCGACATCTTGAAACCGGCGTGCAAATCACTCTGCTACGGAGGAGAATACACTAGAAAGTTATTTTTTTATTATTATTTCTCCATCTTCATCAACAACACAACAAGATAACGCCTCGCATATAAAAACAATACTCGAATATGGCACCATACACTGTGACAACCTAGGAACATAATGCCGCAGAGTATATATATTCTGTGATCATACTGTAGACATAGAATTAATAAGTACTACGTACAACTAGAATGCTTACTGTGCATCTAAACACGCGCCGAGTGAGAGGTCATAAATCTTGGTTTGTCCCTTTCTAAGTAGTGTAACCATTCTTACCTGAATACATTGGACATTAAAAGAAAATATTGATTATTGAAATTGAATAATATTAATATGAAGCAGAAAAAATTCTTATTCAATCTCAACTCAACAATAATAAATTTTGAAACTATGGAAATCAGCAATTTCATAGGAAAACCTCCCCCCCCCCCCCCACTGGGGGAAGACCTAATAATAAAACGCAATCAAAATAGTATATTTTATTATGACTGTATTGTTTACATTTTAAAATTAAACATTACTTAACAAAATTGTTTTGTGCAATTTATGGCGTAAAGTAGCGCGAGATGTGCCAATGGCCTTGAATGTGAGACCTTTGCCATAAGTTGTCATTCTTTTTATGAGAATCTCATGCCTTTGTTGGATTTATTTTTGTTCAATTGCTGATGAATATTTGAGAAACAGTTTGTTATGACAGATTGTACCATTTCATAATTTTTACAATTTTCTTTTAAAACTGCTAAAAGTGACTTTTAAATTATTAATCTTCATCTTCATGTCTCTTCTTTTGATTTTTGCCTAGTATTAATATCAAGTTTTAACTTCTTAGATGAAGGACTTTAGTTAGGCGTATAACTAAAGGCGTTTAACACATTATTTTTTTTGTTATCAGGAAAAATCTGTAATGAAATTAGGTAGGTACATAAAAATAAGTTATAATATGAATTGTTGTTTTAACTTATTATTTTCGATATAATGTTGTTTATAAATGAGTGCTTTAATATTAGGTAGGAACCTTTGGCAAGATTGAAGGAATCACTTCTGATTTCAGCCTTTTTCGAGCCTCTGTTCGGTAATCTTTGGGTTTGAAATGAAGTGTACAAACCACACAGCTTTCATGTAAGTTCCCAGGTATCAACCATTTTTTCTTTAACTCTAAATCCGATGGCAAACTGAAAATTTAAATTAAAATGTATATTTTATAGTAATAATTTGGTTTGGTTTGGTGTGTAAATAGATATTTGCAAAAGATCAATCAAACGATAAGCCTACTGACCAATAAAATTATTAAAGGATACCCATTTATGAGCCTCCACATGCTTGCTTAATGTAGGTAGACTTGCAAATAGTGAATAACCAAAGTGTTAAGTGATACAACAATTTTAAATTTAGTACTTAATTAGGCAATAATAGGGTCTATGCTTATACTACGTACGTACTTTACATCTCTATACGTAAAGTATAGTCACCCTAGTTTCTACTGATGACATACTTACCTGTGAAAAGATAATTCGATTTAGATAGATAGATAGATAGATAAATTCTTTATTTGCATCATGCATACACAAAATTTTACGATTTGGATTTTACACAATATTAGAATCAAAAACAGGACAATCAAACATTATGTGTACCGCAGCGATGCAAATGGGCGAAAACTCAGTGTGTATTTACTCAAAGAGCAAAGCACTGATTTTCAGTTTTTACCCCAATTGTAAGTGGTCGCACTGTAAATATTAAAAAAATTCAAGAACTCACACAAAGAAATTGATAAAAAAAACTACAATACTAACCAGACACTACATAAATACTAATAAATACTTACTAACTAAAATATTTGATAAACGTATAAGATATATAGATTAATAAAATAAATAAATAGATAGTAATACCCATTATTAATTTGATTCATTTGTCAAGATCATTCAGAGTCACAGAGTAATCGTTAATATTACTATTACTACCGCCATCAAGCGACTAATTGCCGGGAACTTGATTTTTTAGCAACCTAGATCTCAAATGCATTTTAAAAGTTCGTCTACATGTGATTAATCTTATAGGCGGAGGTATATTATTCCAGCATTTAGTCGCCTGATAACGGAAACTACCAGTGAAGCTCACAGTCTTGTGATGATGCATCATCAAAGGAGCCCGTATATATCGCTGGACACCGGAACCGTAGTGATGATGAAAAGTGGACTGCTTTAGTTTTGAATATAGATACTCCGGGTTTTTCGACTTCATTATGTCGAACATAAGCATGGCAAGATGCAAACGCTTACGTGACTCCATATTTAACATATCCGCCTTGATTAGAAAAGGTGACACATGTGTTCGTGGGGGTATGTGAAAACAGAAGCGAGCACATGCATTCTGAACACGTTGTATAATTTTCCGAGTCCTATATAGCAACCGTGACCCATACACTAGATCACCGTAGTTCAGTTTGGATAAAATAAGTGATTCACAGAGTATAATTCGTGATTTTTCCGAGAGAAAATGTCGTATCCTATACAGAACCTTTAAACGGTAGAAACAGTTTCTAACGAGACCCAATACATGACTTTCAAAGCGCAACTGACTGTCAAAAACAATTCCCAGGTTCCCAGTTTCATTGACTGATTCAATATTTTTACCCAAGATCTTAACAACAGGAGGATTGGTTAGTATCTTATTAATCTGTTGTTTGGTGCCTAGAATCATAAACTTGGACTTAGAAGGATTTAATACGAGACAATTATTATTTGACCAAACTGCTATATTATTCAAATCTTCATTTAATTTGGAGACGGCTTCCATCATCCGAGCTGGATTCCCGGCTATATATAACTGCACATCATCGGCGTAGCAATGATGTTTACATTTTTTTATTGAGAAGGATAGATCAGCAGTGTATATTATAAACAAAAGAGGCCCAAGGATGGAACCCTGAGGTACACCACGTCTTACCGCTCTAACCTCTGATGTGAGATAAGATCCATCTTCTTTACGCAAACGCACCACTTGAAACCGATTACCAAGGTAACTATCAAGTCATAATAACATTATAGTAAAATAATTTCCGTGTAGGGTGCAAGCAATAATAATATTATAACGCTT